CAAACAGATAAAAGAAATAAAGACTGAATTCACAGGATACGTTGGAGATCAGATAAAAGTCGGAAAAGGTGTGAATGTTTCTATATATTGAAACAGCAGTAAATAGTTAACTCTATACTGTCTGCAATAGCTCAACAAATGCCATGTGTTTCTGCAATTAATATTTAAAAAAAACACCCTTTTTCGAACAGTGGATATACAACAAGAAGTCGTCATCCACGTTTGCATATAAGTAAAATAAAACAGCTATTGTTTAGAAATTGAAATTTATCAATCTCAAGAGAACTATTTCCACAATCAACAGAGTAATTAAGAAAAAGAATAAATAGTTGCACATTGGTGACACAAATGAGAAAAGCGAAAATTTCAAAAGACAAGATGATTTTAATGTTTTGTAAGATAACCTTGATATACATGTTTTCAATAAAGATTTCAAGGAAGCTGATCGTTGTCATAATGTGAGCTTTAGTGAAAACCGAATGCATTTTCATAAATTTTTTTGATAGATATTTACTGCTTTTTTTGTTTATTATATGCGAAAATAGCTATTGAAGGTAAAAGTTCGTTACACGAATAAACTGTAGTGCCTATAGACATAGGGTGGGTGTGGGTGTGGCTCTTGATAGAAATCGATCCACACCTGCACCCACACCCACACCCATACCCACACCCACACCCACACCCACCCACACCCACACCCGTACCCACACACACCCCATACCCACACCCACACCCACACCCACACCCACACCCACACACACACTCACACCCACACCCACACCCACACTCACACTCACACCTACGCATCCAACTATATCTTTACATGCACAGCCACTTACATCAACCCATAACTCAACCACATTTACTTATAAAGTAACAAATGCTGAATAATAATATCAATATAGGCATTCATAGAAAAATTCGGTTTTTATTGATAACTAAGATTACTTTATACGTCTAATGAAAGTTTATTTAGTCTCTCATACACTAGGGAAGTAGCAAGTTCAAGGAAAAAAATATTGTATACTGCAACATCGTGTGCTCTTCACGGTTCTCAACAAACAATGAAGGAAAAGAATTCAATCAGAATGAAACTGAATAGAAGCAGAAGAAATAGCAACCACTCGTTTCCTTATTATGAGTCATTTTTGTCATTCTATTGCTCCCACGAGGTGAACGCAAGTGGCAAAATGTTTTTAGTTGTATATTCCTCTTCTATAGTGTCGTGTAGACAAACGACGAACGAGTTTACTTTTCCGTTCGCTCCTGGTAACTGAGAGAACAACAAAAGTAACTCGCAGTAAGTGAGAAAAAGTATAAGTGAATGACTGTTACTTCTTTGATTCTTCGCGATTCTGAAGTTAAAAAACAACGTATTTCTTTCCGATGGCATGAGTTTTGACTAATGTGGTCCTGAATTCAGGGAGAAAACTTGGCTAAACTGCTGTGATAATGGCAATTTGACGAACTGTATTTGATGATAGAAAACAGAGAAAACAATTGGTGCAGTTGAACTTAATTTCGCTATTCGAGACGGAACACTTTGCGGTCAGGTTTCGGGTACTGCCTTATGAATTCTATTAAGAGTTCTACATTGGTTAAACTTTTCTAATTTACATTCAGCGCCACCTGTCAAATGCCACTCAGAGCACACCTGAGAAATTATCTTACAAGTAAATATACAAAATAATAGATAAGTTTCTTAACAACATGAAGTAGTTAAGTGAACCTGATGAAAGCTGTTCACAACAAGTTTCTAGAATTTGCTCAGTTTGATTATATTTTAATAAAGAAGAAAGTGAACTAGGAGACATGACTAAAACAGAAAGCTAAGTAGTACGGAAATTTTAGAAAATTTCTTCATTTTAATGCAGCAAGTTGAGTTTTCGAGTTGCCATAAAAGAAAATCTCGCAACGGGCTCCTAAGAATAACGAACCATTGTTTGCATCCCTGACAGCAGTTGTGCTCAAAGAAGTCTAGAAGGGATTCGGTTCGCTTGGAGTCTGGGACTCGATACGAGCTCCCTCTCGTAAGAATTCAACAACCCATGGTGACTTGTCTCAAAATAAGAGTAAATATGTCTACGTGCTTCAGCGTGTACAAAAATACGTGAAAATGAATTGCTAAGTGCGTTTTCTAACCTAGAAATCAAGGAAACATTCTGTTCCATGATATGGAGCATTGCGGAATAAATTTCTTTAATTGCGAAACCACGCTAATTCAGTGCTGCCGCAACTCCTAAGAATTACGGACTACTCATGAATCAAAACTTCGTCGACTCATTCACTCGACACCTCTGGTCACGTAATCGACGATTCAATTCTGGGACAAGACTCCCATAGTTTAATCAACAAGACGTTGCAAGGAGTTCCTAGGGTGTGGGTGTTAGTGGCTGTGACTGTGGCTGTTACTGTGAGTAAGGAGAATGTCTACACTAACACCCCTACACCCACTCCCAACCCAAATCATGGGACTGCAATTGAAGGTAGATTAATGCGTGCCTTTATACGAAATATTTACGATGGTACGTTAAATAGTGTATTACTATTCGATATAGCGAACAGAGATAAGTTATTCTACGCTCGACAGTAGATCATTGCATGCTTTATGGACACCGCTTAATGAAAATATGTTAAAAAGCTGTTAGCTCAATCTCTTGCGGAATTAAAAATGTGAAACCCAATGGTCTATTGTTACTAGTTAAATGGAAATCGTTTTGTTCCATTTCTGTGCGATACATTTGTAGCTAACCGTTTATATAATGCTTTAGAACTACGGTTCCTCTGTCATGGTCTGTGATGGATGTTGGGCCCGTCTGTCACAGTCTGTGATGGGTTCAAAGCCTGTCGGTCATGGTCTGGGGGAGGGGGTTCAAATTTCTACCCTTAAACACTTCAAAACTCCTTTCAGATCGTGTTTCACAAAAGTACATTACTTCAAGAAAACATCCAAAGAGACGTACTATTCTACGATCGAAGGCACATAATTGGGTGCTTTTATAGAGTGCGGAAATAATAGTAGGTCAAAGGCTATACTACTCTAGTTCGCCATCGACAAAGTTTATTTTTTCTCTTATAAGACCTAGATTGATATGTGTTGTATCAATCAATCCATTCATAGGCTATCTTACATTTGAAAATGATACAATGCATTTTCAAGAATTCATGAGAATTCTGTTGAACCTTTGAGAGTGTGGAATTTACCCTCTAAGACAAAAAAAGTAAGAAAATAATTTTTACTTTCGATAAAATCAACTTCCGTAGAGTATCCACTAGAACTTGGTCACTGGAACTGAAAATAGCTGTTTGTGTTCGAATGCATAAAAAGCGCACTATTTTTTATTTCAAAACCCATTTTCCTAGCGATTGTTTCTAGACGAGACGAAAATACTGATCGTAACAGCAATGTAACAGAGTAAAAAAATATTTGATGAAAATTTTTTAGTGATTCATTAGTCTGTTTTTTTTATCAACATCAACTATTAATATACAAATCAAGGTAGTGCAATTTATGCTTGTAAAAAAAGAATTCAAAAGTTTGAGCAAAGAGACTGTAACTGTGACTGTCACCGGAACATGTGCCGAAATTAATACGATTTCACGATATCTTTGAAAGCCTAAAATAGACATCCAATGACCCATACGACACCCTCTTTGTTTCGTGCTCACATGCATGCATGCATGTTTTTGAGTTTGAAAAGACGTAACTGCATTTGTGTTTCTGCGATTCTCTTACTGTTCTGTTCATCATATTGTATCAACAATTCTTTATGAGTCAACGCTATGCAATTATTATTGCATACGATTCTTCGCCGAAAATAAGGATGAATGTCAATGTCTTACAAAATTTACCAGAGAGGGAAAAAACCCAATATGTTTGATGTATAAACTCGGGAGAAATATAGTCGATCACACATTATACCCAGACCATAATCAAGTGTTTAAGTTAAGCATTTAGTGTGAATAATTTATGATAGTGGAATTTATTTTATTATTCTATTACAAAGCCTAAACATGTAAATTTCTTTTTTCAGAGAAAAACTAGCGCTTATTATGCCCATCGGTGAAAAAAATTCACAGTATAAGCTTTCCAACCTATGCAAGGCTATTGAAAATCATACAGGTAAAATATTTGATTAGGATCAGAATTCTGATAAAATAATGCAAGTGTATGAGAGTGAAAATCTGCACAAAGCTTATGTCATTTCTTATGCAAAGATGGCAAAACAACATGCTAGTACAGCTTGTTCCCGCATTGGTAACCTTGGCATGGAAAAGGCTCAAATCTAGTAAGCCGTGCAGTTTCGTTCTGATAATCCTAACCCTATGGCCAGGTACTCTGTGAACTATATATCAGTTAGCAGAGTGACAACAGAAATTTGATTTTTGTTTGATGCTTGTCTTCATAACTCAGACAATGTTTTACGCAATATCATCTGAAGAATAAATTGATATATTGGAAAGATACAAAAATCTGTTGACTTCTCTCTAGTCGAAGAAAAGTGAATTCAAAACATTATAGTTTTAAACTTTGATGCTTAAAACTATCTTCTTAGAGATTCCAAATAAATTTCGTAATCGACGATATGTCATATGTTTTTCTTTCTGTAGAATTATATTTAAACAGAAATAATGGAGTATTCAAGCAGCCCGTATAAAGCTGAAGCACTTTCAAATGTAATATTTTTTTTTCTGAGTATTGCTGCAAGTAATAGAAAAATACATGGCACTTATTAAATTCAGAAATATTTCATTGCTATTGAAATATTTCCAATTACTGTTAAATATTTGAATGGTTTGTACTAGTTCAAGCTCCACGGATGGTAAGACTCTGTGAGGTTTTGTTCTTGAGACTAAGAAATCGTAGAGGTATCTATGTGAGATAATAAATTTATGTAACGTATGGCGATACTCAGCAGCAGAATGATCTTTGGCAAATGAATATCATTTTAGAAAGAATTTTAGTCATGAGCACAATACTCTTTGAACAATAAAAAGAAATGGCGACTGGTGGCGGAAGACATCGTCTGAGCTATCCATGCCAGAGAAAACGTGGTCAATTTCCAAGAACAACTTACAGTAATAGAATTTTGAATCCTCCAGACTACTCAACGAGAGATGACAATGATGATGAAATTGACGATGATAGTGAAGTTTCAAGACAGGTATGGTAATCAGACAATCATAGTAAAAACTATACATCGACTGTGTCTTATTTTCTTATAGAGCAATCCACGGTATAACAGTAATCGTCAGCAAATTCCAGTAGAAGGCAGAACTGGGTACGGACCATTCAATCCACCAGAAAAACATCTTTCCCCACGAACTTCTGATACTGCCCAGAGACTATTGACGAATATATCAAGACCACCGTATTATCAGGCTCGTCAAACGGCATTGCTATCACAATCGAGTCCCACTCCTGTTGTTACACTATCTAAGGTGAACGTAGAAGAAGCTCTTGCTAAGATAATCGCAGATTATGTCAATCGAAATGAATACGTTAGCGTTGAGAAAGTAGTTGGAAAACTATTTACAATCAACCAAGTTGCCGAATGGTCTCAATTAAATATTGATGGCGTAATGAACCCTTTTAAAGATCTAACACAACTGTCAAATCTTGTTTTAAAACATGCAACAGTGAATTTGTTTACTGACGTCTTTCAACATATACAGATCATTGGCACACTTCAAGAACTAGGCGAAGTAATTGCGCAACGTTTCGAAAAAGGTTCATACGACGAATTGAATTTAGGACCAATATGGAAACATCCGAAAATTGCAAAATTGTTTAGAATACCTGATAAGCAAGAACCTAGGCAAACAACATGTAACGAAATAATAGATTTGTTTTATGAATACACACGTTTCTTAAAATACACAGAACGAATAAATTTCGACGAATTTAAAGACCATGCTGCCGACAAACTTGGAGTAGATACATGGGAACATTTGGGTGTTTTTGTCAAAGGATTTCCTTATATACTTACAGTAAATATAATATTTTTATTGATCATATAGAAATGCATTTAGGGAAACTTATATGTTACATCTAGCCTGAATCATCATACTAGGATGTCCGTTTTTTTTTCATAGAGAAGTCATAGTAAAACGTCAAAAAAAAAATAAACAGCACGAATGAGAATTTTCATCTTTCATTTGAAGTTGTTTCACCAAGAGTACATCTTTGACCGTTGCGGAATTTAAAATATTACATTAACTTCAAATATTTTGCTATAGATATTCGTCCATTTTTAATAACTTTAATATGTACTAGACGACGGTTGAAGATAGTGGATACTAACCAAAATCTGACGGTTTTTCCAACGATCTCTGAATATCAAAACAAACTAGATGAACAGTTTTTCTAAATTTCATAAAGAATTTATTGTTAAAGAATAAACTTGACGACAAAGACGACTCTCATCGTATTTCAGACATGTCGAACTATGAAAAAAGCTGTGCGAGCACAAAATTCAGCATGGTCGAAAGAAATTGAAGGGATTGAAACTAAATTGTTCCAACAAACATTGAATGAAATAAAATTTAAATTTAATGATGCACTTTCCGTTGATAAACACAAAATTTACATTGATATGACACCTGTTGATGTATTTCATCGTTTACGTGAATTAGTTGAAGAAAATATGGAATTCGTAGATGTTGAAGATCAAAACTATCTATTAGATTTATTAGATGAATTAAAAGAAAATGAATTATATAGTAATTTGATGAATTTGGCTATCTTTCTGGGAACATTAAAAGAACCAGAAACATTTTTGTTAAACAGAACAAGTGAACACTCTGATCCACAAACCCCATCATCACCATCACCTGAGGCCATTATTAATAACAATAAATTATTACAACAACAGCAACAACCAAAAGTACCATTAAATAAAATATGCACAACTTTATATAAGTTAATCAATGAATCCGATGGTATATTTCAATTTTCAACACTAATTGAAATCCAACGACAAATATGTCAACACTATAAAATAGATGAAAAGCACGATTTTACATTATTAGGTCATGGTGATTTCATCAAATTTTTATATAATCATAAAAAAACGATTGGTAGTAATTTAGAATTTTATCTATTTAATGCGGATTCATGTAGTGGTATTAAACGAACAGATTTATATACATTTATTCAGCATTTATTTCATAATGGTATTGAAGATCGAAAAATTATTGAAAAAGCAATTAAATATCATTTTAATTTACAAAGCTTAAAACAAATCGGGTTCTACAATATCGAACAATTATGCGATCGAGTTAAAAACCAACAACAAATTCAAAATGTTGTCACAACCATGCAGTATGTATCTATCAAAAGATAATCGAACAACTCTCTTTTCTTTTTTCATTTATAGGTATGAAGAACTTTTGCTAGGTAATGAATACTTGAACAAATTAGATACGAATATTCATCGGCCATATATTCGAGATGATGATCACTTATGTGAATATTTAAGCAAATGTCCGCTGCTAGTTGATATTACATCGTGGTGTCACTGGAATCGTTTATATATGCAAGAAAAGGGACATATTAAAGAATTTCTTCATCGAAATAAATCAAAATTATCAAATATGTTGTGGTTAGAAATAACTAAACATAATAAACAATTGGTTCTATTATCTAAAACTTCAGATATACAAAAATTTGAAAAGGATTTACTACGAATACACTTAAAAGAAGCTGCTGCACATCTGTTATCAATGGCAATACGAGAGCGAGATTGTACGCGTTTACCTATTGCACGCTTGCGAACAATTATGAAACAATGGTTTGAAGTATTAAAACAATCAAACAAGGCCTCCATTTCTTCACATGATCCTATTGAGCACATCTTGAATTTCTTATGTTTTCTGCCGTTTCCATTTTCAAGTTCACTTGTGCAGCAATTGATTCTTGAACCAGCTGATCATTTATTTCCTAACTTCAGATCTATTTTATGGAAGTTAGCGAGAAAAGATTTGGTACGAAAGTTGCATTTGGAAGAACTAGGTTTGACACTGGGGATTGATGAATGGACGCAAGATCTGTATAACGAAGAAACATACTTATCAGAGGGTACTATTGATGCATCATCAGATGAAACAGTTACTATCATGGAAAGTTATGAAGACCAAAGTAAGTCATATAGAGTCCTGAATCGGATTATAGTTCGTCAGTAATCATTTGTAATTTACATATGCCAGTTGTTTCTTGCTTTTGTCACTTCCAATTTCCTACCTATGAATGTAATGACGAAAAAACCATCGTTCTTTTTTATCAATTGAGAATTCTCAAATATGCATCATTTACTTTGCGTCTATAAATCTCATATCAGAGAAAAACAAAACTCTCCAACTGCGTAGATTTGAAACGAATTCCTAGAAAGATGTTTCAATTCGAAATATTTCGAACCTACTCTGATTATTAGATATTCCAAAAACAAATATAAATTTTGTCATGAGAAAAACCGTTTACACTCGAATTGCTTCTACACAAAAACAATCGGATATTTTCTAACTGATGCAAATCGAGAAACTTCAAAGTACATAGAGCCTTTTTTGATTTTGTTAACTAGATCCGAGAGAAGAAAATAAATCACTTCAAAGCTCTATCGATACCATTCACGCTCCGAAAAAAGAAAAAATCACTACATCGTTGAATCTTATAAGCAATGACACTGCGAACAATGATAGTATTGAGCCACTTGAGCACATCAAAGAAATTCGTAAATCTCTTGGCAAAAATACACGTTCAAATAATGAAGATCAAGAAGTCGTCGATAATTTACAAGATTTACTTGGAGAATGTTTAAAAAAACTAGCCGATGATCTGTATTCTGATCAAGGCCATTTTGTATTAGAATTAATACAAAATGCTGACGACAATAATTATTCAAAATTAAATGATAATTCAACACCAAAATTAAAGTTTATTATCAATAATAAACAGATAACTATTTATAATAACGAAAATGGTTTTCAAAGAGAGCATGTTAAAGCTATCTGCTCTGTAGGAAAATCCACGAAGGGTAAATACAGAAGTACATACACTAAAATTGTTTATGTGCTCACTTATTCTATTATAGGAAAACATAAGGAAGGCTATTGTGGTCACAAAGGAATAGGCTTTAAGTCTGTATTTGTTGTACGTATATACCATTCTTTCCTTGTTATCGACTCAAAATGATGATAAGTGCCTCTTTCTAGGTGTCGAATAGACCTGAAATTCATTCAAACAATTATCACATTTGCTTTGATGCCACTGATGGTGACCCAGTTGGTTATGTGTGTCCTATTTGGTTAAGCACATATGAACCTGTTATAGAGAGTGACGCTGATGATGTTTGGACTACATGCATCAGATTAAATTTAAGGTCCGATGAGCACATTCAAAAACAAATAAAGCAAAAATTTGATAACATTAGTCCAATGTTGTTATTATTTTTGCACCGGCTTAAGTCACTTGAAATTAACTTTGAAAATCATTATTTAAAAGCATTTACTCGTTATGATCATCCAGGAAATATAATTGAATTGACTGAATGTGATGGTAAACGTGAAAAAAAGAATTATTGGTTAGTCATTAAAAAAAGTTTACCTATACCTGACACACTTCAAGTACGTCAACTTTAGTTTGTTTTGAAAAGAGAAAATGATTTTGCCTTCCTCTTCTGATTTCATATGATTGTTATAGACTTCTCATAATTTATTAGACTTTATTGTGTTGATAAAAACTACATAGAACGATCAGTAATTAATAAACGACAACGGCTTGTTTCCTATTGATCGAAAAGAAAGATAAACTTGGAAGTTTCTCTCTTTTATTTATCGTACCCTGTAATACTCTACTACTTCTTATGTTCATTCTAATATAGATTCATGAGACGAGGACAGTTCAGATTCACAATTGTATTAAATGTCTAAAATTAATTGACAATACTCCGGTATAACGATGTAAATCATTAATTCAATGTTGAGAACAGAATAAGAGTAGTTTTGAACCAAGCTTATCAGGAATATGAGCCTTGTATTCTAGTATCAAGATACTTGTGACTAAATCACCAAAATACTGTATTAGTGAAAGCATATATCACCCATTACATGTCGTACTGTTTTTAGAAAAAGTTACGTGAAATCAAGATTAATGTTGAATCTACATCAGTGGCTATTGGTTTTCCACTTCAATACATGGAACAATATTTACGCGCCAATACACCAGTACCTATTCAACCTTTATTTGCGTATTTACCAGTACGACAATTTGGCTTTCGTTTTGTGTTGCAAGCCGATTTCGAAATACCAGCTAGTAGACAAGATATATTACAAGGAAATGAATGGAATCAATGGCTTAGAGATGAAATGGTTCCCTTATTATCTGATGCATATGATTATTTTAGAGATTTGCCAAGTATTTTGAAAAATATTTCGTCTTCAACGTCCTATTTTCAAACAATTGATACAATACAAGCTTTTAAATACTTTTTGAAATTCATTCCCATCACGAATGAAGTGGATCCATACTTTCATGGATTCATTGAACATTGCATCGTAGAATTACGCGAAAAAATAAAACTTCCAACAAAAACAGGTAATAGATATAAAGTAGTTTGTAAAGAATAGATTTCATATATTAATAAAGTCTTTATAGAAAATAGAATCCTTTATTTGCTCAATCTAATGCTTCGTGTTGTCTCCTTTAAATATGAAGTAGTACTTAGATATATCGATTTGGAAATGTTAGCTAAACTAGTTTGAATTATTCAGTTCAATCATATGTTGATTTCTCTTTAGTAAAGACGAAAAATCTGAACGCAAGAAAAGCTCGATTTTCTATCACGAGAAGGGAAAAGGATAATTGCATACTATTCCAAGAAAGACACATAGAACATTTGTTCGATCAATCACAGGCATTTGATCTTGCAATACAAATAGGTATTTCGAAAACTAGGGAGTGTTGCGCCTCCTCTCCTCCCTTTATACACACTCGTGCACATTCATGTATCAGCATCACCAATCATTATCTACAATTCATTTTGAGCCAAACTTTCGTCATCTTTTTTTTCGAAAATTCACATCATCGATTTACTTAAGATGTGAGACCAACTTTAATTAAAATAGTGTCACTCTACCATAATCATAGAGATTTCTAAGCTCCAACATTTTCATTTTGTATTCGGCATAAACATCCAGACAAGTCTTAAACGTCGTTCTTATTCAACTCACTGTGCACTTCCGTCTTGTCTTTTTCTAACAGAAAAGTGTACGATTTTAAAAAATAGTCTCTTTCTACGCTGAAAATCAGTTTGCTCTATGAAACAGGTGATTTAATACCACTATTTTTATTATTTAGATAGTGCTGTGCATGAAATTGAATGGCGATCTCCGGCCAAGTGCGTTATTGTTCGAGATCCATTTATTCTTAAAATACTATCACCAAATTTACTTTTGACATATTGTGAAAAATACTTAGTACATGAATATTTACATGACGTCGATGAAAAAATCTTATTACTATTAGGTGTTGAAAAGTTGAGCATTCATGAAATAATAAAAATGATTAAAAAACAATTCCTCGTTCAACAACAGTCACCTCATACTTCAATTGAGCAAATCGCTCAATGGTTATTATGCTTACACTATAGTTTAGAGCAAATGAAGTATTTAAATGATATTGATGATGATACAGTTCAACTGAAAGAATTAAAAATGATTCCAATAGAAAATCAAGCCGAACTTGTATCAACTAACGAGATGATTATATTTTTCCCTGACACAAAACAAGCCGAGTCTACACATATTGATCAAAAATTTACTAAATTATTAAATGATCTACCGACAATAAAAACAGAACTATTTCATTATATCAAACAAAACTATCCTGATCGTTTACAAGAGATAAAAGAATTAATGAGAAAGTTTGGCATTATAGAAAAAAGTTATGATGAAACTTATCGTTTATTGATTAAATCTGTTTTTGAAAACGAAAGTATGTGGAAGGCAAAAGATAGTGAAATATTGATGTTGTATTTAGTGTATGTATACGAGCATATTTATCGAAAAGGACATCCACATGAAAATAATTTTGATATTGAAGTTTTTAAAAATATCGTGCAAATCAAATGTCAAAATAACGAGTTTTATAATCCGATGAAAACGACAATTCATGTATTGACAGTTGATAATTTTAATGATGGAATCAGAAAACTACTTCAAACGACAAATTGCTATTTCATGTCGGATGAGTATTCAAATTATATACAAATCGACGAAAAAAATCAATGGTATTCGTTTCTCGAGCAATTAGGTATTAGTGAATTCTTGAAGATTGAACCAGTTGTGTACAGTAAGTTGAAAACAGAACCGCTACAGATAGATGATCATTTGTTGATTCTCAATCGATTTAATGTAAGGATAGGTTGAGTTTTTAAATTTAAAAGAAATCGGATTTGATAATTTCATTATTGGACCTATTAGTTAGATTCAACATAAGATTTTATTATCTAGTTGATCAACGCTGTTTTTTTAGAAAATGATGTATCAACTCACAAATGATTTTAGTCTCCCATATGTAATTAAAACATGGTAGAAAATTTCTTTTCCTAAGTTTTCATCTAATTTGAAAAAGAGGGTACTGATCGTTTCTTGATCTTACTTTAGATGATGTTGTGCTACTCGTACCCATTTCTGAGTCAAAAGTTTCATTCCAACAACATAAAGTTTGCAGCTGTACAAGAGTAACAGATTATCTATCATACAGACTATGTATTAATATAATGATATTATGGAGTTGTTGTGCTTCTACTAGTATATTTAGAAAAAGCTGCATCAACAAATCAAATGAATGTCTATTAAAAATTTTGAGAATACATTTTCGCTATTGCATGAGAGTAAGTGCAAGTCAGTTTCTTTTTGAAGGTCTTGAAAGAAGGTATATAATACACAGACAGAACCAATAAACCTATTGAGCAATAATATCGAACCTCAGAGAAAGGTACAATTCATTAAAATGTAAGAAAGACACTTTTTCTATTGTATATTTATTGATCAATAAAATTCTTACAGTTGTTAATATCTCAGGTCATTGCTAGTGATTTCCACCATAATCATTTATGTTTTGTTATGTCAGTATAGGCTTTATAAAATCATTTAGATAGAATTTTGACAAACGCTTACCAAACAGTAGATTTCCTAATTGACTTCATCGACGAAATGTCTGCCGATAGATTGTCTCTCTTAGATTTCTATTTTGTTTTAGTCTACTTCCACATGTAGCAATAAATATATCATGATATTTCTAGATGTGTTTGATTTTATTTGTATGCCTTTTATTATGAATTTTTCATCAAACACTCGAAAGAAATGCGAGACTTATAGGTCTTGCCTAAACATTTGATCGTTTCTCAATCATTTTTTTAAATAGATCAATTACGTGGAACACCTTGGGAGCGTTATGAAGAAGAATTTCGTAAAAATTATTCAAATATCAAAGGCTATGTTGTCAATGATTTTACATGTCCTGAATTTATCGACATATTTCGTAACAGCGACAACAATGATATTAAGAATCTTAATCTGCATTACGACACATGTCATCAACTACTATTATATATAAATAAAAAATGGGCTAAAATTCAACATTATTTTCGAGTGAAAATATATTCCGTAGGTAATCCGTATCCATTAGAAGAAGTTGATTCAACATTTTGTATAAATTTAAAACAATGTGCTTGGATACGAACTCAATGTATCGAATACGTTTATGATGCACAAACAGAAAAAATAAATAAAAATGAAATAATTAAATTGAAACAACCTTCAAATGTCGTCGTTCAAAATTCAGATTATCATGCGAATGCGTTTATTCACTATTTTCCATATATTGACAATATAAAGCTGAATTCAGACTTGATTATGAAACTGAATATAAATAATAGAATCGAACCTCAGGATATAATTGTACGATTGTTAGAATATATAAATGATTGGTCATACACATCATTATCAAACATTGATATATTTCGTAGGAATGAAGATGATACAAAACAAAGAATTAATACTCTCTTAGATAATCCATCTCGATTTCGTTCCCGACGGACATTTATTGAAAGCATATCAACTATAAGTCGTTTATACGGATTTCTTCATGATGAATTAGATGGTGATGAGCGATATTTGAAATGGCCGCTTGTTTTTGTACCTGAGTCGCTTCCATCAGAAAATACTGATTTATGTGTCGGCCGATTTTTGTTTATTAACGAGGTAGCATGGGATGATCCAACGCATTTATTGTCAGAACCCATTCTTATCAAACGATTGTATCCAAATTTAGAAAACTTTTTCAAATGTGTTTTAAAAATCCCGTTGATACCAAGTTCTGAATGCTACTTAAAAATATTAGAAGAATATTCAAAAACGAATGTAACTGATCAACTCGCAGAAAATACTTGGCAAATATTCGAAAACTTATATAAAAATGATTATGATAATATTATTAGTAAGAATTCAATAGCATAAACATAGTAACACAAAAATTAAGAATTTGATTTTATCTTTTTCCCTCTTAGAATTATTCCGACATCGGTCTCTTATACCAAGTATGACTAAATATGGATGGATAAAACCTGATGATGAGCTATACGCTCCTGATGACAAAATTATAGCACAATTATTTGAATCGGAACGATTGCCAATTATTAAACTACCTGGTAAAGTCAATTTAAATTATAAAATTTTTCAATTTATTAATTATTGAATTTGTATTATTTGTCTTTCATCTAGAAAACGGTTTGACTAAAAATGGGCGAATATTTCTTGGGAACCTTCGATACAAAAACTTTTCTGAGACAGTAAAATTCAATGTAAATGTAACGAATGAAAAACTATCTGAAGATTTGAAACAATTTTATACAAAAACTTTACCATACGTTTCGAGTTATTTATACAGTGAGCCAGAGATGTTTGATGAATCATACGATAAGCGAAAGTTAAGTGAAATATTTTCACAAATGAAATTTTTCAATGTTGACAGTATTCAAGTGACATACGGATACGAAAAAATATTAATTGATTATGATTATGACTGTTATGTTGAGAAAAAATCGAAAAGATTCTATTTATTAAACAAATATCATTATTCCTATAGTATTGAAACAGTGATAAAATTCATTATTGATGATACTGTTGCAGAATGTCATCATAAACGTGACAAACTGCAGAAGTATTATAAAAAGTTATTAGGCGCCTATGCAAAGAACCAATTAGAACAAAATATAGTCAATGATCGTGATTCATTAAAGCCAATTTGGATAATAGATATCGACAATGGTGATGAAAGTAATAACGGCGAAGATGCAGTCAAACTAGAAGAAAATATTAATGACCAGGACTCAGACACGGATATTGTTCTTGACTCAGCATTAGCTGATAAAATACTCAATGAAGAAAAAATTCTTATACCGAAATCCAAACAGAAGACAAGCTCTCAATCTACGAATACTTCAAATTTGGATACCAATATCAACAGTACAACAAGCAAGTCCACAGGGCAAAGTAGCACTAGCAGCGATGATCAATTAAGAAATAATCAAGAAAATGAGCATCATAGAAAAGGTATTTTCTTTGGTAGATCAATTTTTTTTTCTTGTTCTATCATAATTTTAAAGTGTCTTTTAAATTATCTCTCAGTATTTTTATCCTTTTCTCCCTATTTTAGACACCACTTCGACCTTCATACCGAAGAAACAAAACATAGTCAAATTTCAACATATTGATCTCCCTGATTTAGAGATATCGGATGAAAATGTTTTAGTAGAAAACTCTAACAAATCAGTGGATGAAGAAATTCTTAAAAGAATAGGGCGTACAGGAGAACGATGGGCATATGAATACTTGAAAAATTCATATCGTACTAAAGATAATGTATCTGTCAAATGGTTAAATGAAACTTTTGAAACAGGATCACCATACGATATTGAAATTAAATTTATTGATAACTCTCAAGATACTCAACGAATTGAAGTTAAAACAACTACAAAACATTATGACAATTATCAGTTTTCAATATCAATACAAGAAGTTGAAGAAATATTACTTAACCCTAACACATACTACATATACCGGATCAATTTAAGTACACGTTCGTTGATCATTATAGATAATATAACACAGAATTTAAGCGACAAGCGACAATTACAACTACAAATGAATGTTTTAAAACTGGAAGATTTTAATGAAACATAATAATTTATTTGCGAGTAAAAATATTAACAATATGATGTGGGATATAAAGTGACTTTTGTCATACTTACTGTTGCATGTATTCTAGATTAAAAATTTCTCTTAGCCAACATTTAGTCATATATGAATGAAAGTGTGGGGTGACTATATTTTGTACACATAATTGAGACATGGATTTTATATAAAGTCATTGCTGAATGACTTTAGCACTGAATTAAAGATCACCATCTCTTATAGGTTTATTAACCACTAAGCTATTGACCGGGATCAACTGCTCAGACCTCATGGAAGATTTCGCTATAAAGGAAAACTTAATCGATGTGAAGCTAGCACGACGGATTTAGGTGACCAATAAATCTTCAACCTTAGAACACAGATACATAGAACCTCCATGCAGATGCTCAGAAGCACATGCCTAATACCCTCATAAAACTCCTATATCTCTGCATTCCAAGGTTGAAGATTCAGAGATCACCTAAATCCGTCGTGGTAGCTTCAAGTCGTGCTAGATTCACATCGATGAAAACTTAAATGTTAAATTATTACATAATTATCAGTTTTTATAACTGAGTGTGTCAATGGATGTATCATTCATAGTATTGTAGAAGATCTTTCGACTAGGACTACAACAGCTCCAGCTCATGAACTGGGCTGAAACGAACTGATGAACTGTTCGAACAGTTCATCTCAGCTCCGAGAACTGAGAAAATGTCTCATATAGGAGTACTCTTAGTACCTCGTGTGCTATATATTGGGGGTATCCTTAGGACCTTAAGAGAGGGTCCGCTAGAGGGAACCCCTACGCCGCCGGAAAAAAATTTTGTTTTTTGATTTTATTATCTTAAATGATAGGTCTGAGCTAACCATTGTTAAATCCGAAATGTTAAATGATTTGAATGTTCCTATGAAAAATGGCAGGGAAAACAAGTTTAAAGGATTAAAATTGACCCTATGAAATATATATCAGAAGGGTGCGCTCAATATTTTGAGATTTTCTCAACAACAGCTTGACCTTTTGAGCTTGAAGATATCTCATTTTATAGAAAACTGTCTGAAGTATAATTCTATTCTATTTTAGCAACTGATATATGCGATAAAAATTCTCTTTAGGTCAAAAACTTTCAAAAACTCAAGATATGACTTCTTATCGAAATGATAGGCTTTTGAAGCTTTCTCGAGCTGAATAAGAGATGCTAGAATGATTTTTTTTACCAAACATAGATCTTAGTGAGATACATCTTTTGACATAAAATTGTCGGAGAAAAAAACTGGGGGATCGAGTTAGTACGAGCCACACTCTGCCTACCCTAGCTAATGACCATAAGTCTCATTCCCCAAAAAGGATGCATTTTTTTCCAAATTGACAAAAACTGACTTCAGATTCGTATTCAGCACGCAAAACTGGATAGGATACGTTACTTTCTAATGATTTTTGACTTGCATCTAGCAGAATCATGATCATAGGTGCTCTCCTTAAATATATGATGGATATATGATAGATAGAGACATCAGTGTGTCAACTGCAATTCTTTTATGTTAGTAGCTATCGAGTTTTGGGTTTGTCCACCCGATAGCACTTTTAGTGGCTACAAAACTGTCTACTTTTTTAACTTAAAAACTCGTGATCACTCGACGTATGCCAACTACATTGATCATAGGGTACATTTTTCGCCCTACTTTTGCTAGTTTTTGGTTGCAAAACCACAATTTCAATAAAAACCAATATCATATTCGGAATCAGCATTAAGAACTGAGTCGATCTATATATATTTCAAATGCTTCTGAGAAATTTTTTTTTTCTATGAAAAGGGATACCTGAGGCCCCCTCAGGAGTCACTGAAACATGATTTCTCAAGAAACGACGTTATTTTCGTTTAGGCATTTCTCTCTTTGCGTTTCTTCGTATGAGAGAAGCTCAGCTACTTCATTCCACAGGATAAATATCGTTTTTCTGAGAAATCGTTTTTTTTTTAGATTCCTGAGGGGGACCTCAGGAACCCTTTTTCATAGAAAAAAACATTTCTCAGAAACATTTGAAATACATATAGGTCGACTCCGTTTTTAATGCTGATTCCGCATATGATATTGGTTTTGATTAAAATTGTGGTTTTGCAACCAAAAACCAGCTAAATAGGGGCCAAAAATGTACCCTAAGAGCAATGTATTTAGCATGTGTCGAGGGATCAGGGTGTGGGTGTGGTGTGGGTATGAGTGTGGGTATGGTGTGGGTGTGGGTGTGGGTGTGGGTGTGGGTGTGGGGTGCGGGTGTGGGTGTGGGCGTGAGGATGTGGGTGAGCGTGTGGGTGTTGGTGAATGCTAGATCATTACCCATACCCATAACCTCAAGAGAACTACTAAAAGTTGGTACAAGACACAATGATATCTGTCAACGAAAGAACACTTGCGAAATGTGCTTTGATCTAAAACATTGATTTTGCTGATCAATAAAACTAAATTTTCTTAGACATATTCGACTAGCATAGGTTTAATTGTTTGAAATGCTAATAAACAAGTTGGTATGAAGATACAGTGTGCGAATATTCTGCTTACATCTTTTTGATAAATGGTTAAACAACATCAAATAATAAGTTATTACAAGTTTCATTGATTCCAGCGTGTAGCTCACGCTCTGACTATGAAATCATACTTTTAACCTTGTGTCTAATAATATTTGACAAAATTTCAGTGATATCAAAGCTCGCAATTTAATTGAACTATAAGCATAACTCAATACTCTACTGTTTGCACCATTGCCTAAATCATACCTGCGATTAAATATTATTCAAACATGTATCAAAACGATGTAGATAGTATATTCACTTTTTAATGGTATTTTGAACAGTTTCACTTGAATTATTTCAATATATTCAAGAAATTGTTCTTTTGATTAAGCGTATTTTTTTCAAGAAATTTTAATCAGAAATAGCGCTATTAAGAGTTTTCACTGCTTTCTTTTAGTCATTTTAATCCTTGAAGAGGATATCACTCATCTGTATGAAACTTTCTCAAAAATTGAGCACTGAAAATTAGATTCTTCAATGAAAAAATTTGAACATATATCTCCCTATAGTGGACAATCTCTTTATAATGGAAACTTTCTGCGGTCAATTCTTTGTTCTGCATAAAGTAGGAACGGTTCAAAAGAAAAAGACTTGGATACTCTAAAATACTATTGAAACAATCCAAAAGATGTCAGAAAGATATAACTTTATATTGAAGAAGCATAATTTTTTCTCATGATTCTGTGGCGATCTTCCAGTGATATAGGAACAACTAGCTACAGTCAACAAATTATCTTATTTTGCTTTTACCTTTATGTTTGTCATATCTCTTTTTCTATTCTGCAGCAAGAAAATGAGGGTGTGGGTGTGGGTGTGGGTGTGGGTGTGGGTGTGGGTGTAGGTGTGGGTG